CGCCGTCGTTGAATTATCCTACATCAAAAGTTTTAATAGTTTGGGATTCAAATATCCTGAACCCGCCGTCCTTGAATTATACGACATCAAAAGTTTTAATAGTTTCGGATTCAAATATCCTGAGCACGCAGTCGTTGAATTATCTGACAATGAACGATTTAACAGTTTGGGATGCAAAAATTCTGAACTCCCCGACGTAGAAATATCCGACATACAAAAATATGCAATCTCTGAATCGAAAAAAATGAAATTGTATAACACCATAACATAAAAAGAAGATAATTTAGAAAACCTCAGAGAGAAAATGATAGCTATGATCAAAGAAGGCCATGCCGAAATAGATTTACAGTTACCGTTCCGAAAGGATATGAAAGGAGAGATAAACACTGAACATGAAAGACCGGTATATGGCAAACAGTATCCATATGCTTATTCGGTTAACGATTTCGTTAATAACGAAATAAGTAAAATGTTAGATGTAGGAATAATCAGACCTAGTAAAAGCCCATATAATTCACCGGTCATAGTAGTACCAAAGAAGGGAGTAAATGAGGTTGGAACTCCTAAACATAGATTAGTAATAGACTTTAAGAAACTTAATGAAAACACCATACCCGATAGATACCCTATGCAAGATCCTTCAGTAATTTTTGCCAATTTACGTAAGGCAAAGTATTTCTCGGCCATTGATTTAGAGTCAGGTTTCTATAAGATTTTAATGAGAGAATCAGATATAGAAAAAACATCTTTTTCCATTAATAACGGTAAATATGAATATCTGAAAATGCCTATGGGATTGACGAACGCTCCCAGAATTTTCCAAAGGGCAATGGACGACATACTTAGAGAACAAGTGGCGAAAACATGTCACCTCTATATGGACGATATCATAATATTTTCAAAAACTATAGAACAACACTATAAAGATCTTATTCATATAATACAGATTTTGCAAAACGCTAATATGAAAATTTCCCTAGAGAAGTCTAAATTCTTTCAATTAGAAACCAAGTTGCTGGGATACATTGTTTCCCATAATATCATTAAAACAGATCCATATAAGATTTATACAATACAAAACTATACAATTCCGAAAAATATCAGAGAGCCACGCAGTTTCTTAAGATTAACAGGTTCTCACAGAAAATTCGTCCGAAATTATGCCACAATTGCCAAACCGCTAACAAAATATCTGAGCGGAGTAAGTGGAAAAGTTTCACGAAGGGAATCCAAAAAAACTTGAATACAGCTAGATGAATCAGTAGTAGAAGCATTTAATAATTTAAAAGACTGTCTAATTGCACATATTGAATTGGTACAACCAGATTACAAAAAGAAATTCACGTTAACCAGAAATGCATCAGATATAGCAATAGAAATCCTAGAAATAGAAATCATAGCAATAGTCTTATCACAAGATAGATATCCTATAACATTTATTTATAAGATTTTAAGTAAAACCAAGCAATTATATGCTAAAAATAAAAAGGAATTATTAGCTATTGTATGGGCATTAAAAAATTTGCGAAATTATTAATACGAACTGAGTGGGATTGAAATGCAAACAGATCACCAACCTTCTCCTTTTGCAATGTCACAAAAAAACCCAAACGTAGAAATGAAACGTTGGTACTACTTCATTGAAAGTTTCTCACCGAAGATCATTTATAAACCAGGCTCAATGTAGTGGCGGACGCCATATCTCGAATTCAGATAAATCATATAACAGATAGTGATATCAACTAAACAGAATCGTAATCAGATTTAAATACTCAGCATTCAGCACAGAGTAGTTTTGAAAACGTCAAGAGACTAGGAAGCCTTTAAACCAATTTAAACAACAGTTACTATTATCGAAAGGAAGAGTTAGTTAGTTAGTGAAAACTTATGACAATACCCGTCATATTATTGATACAGTTGACAATTTGCTAATGATCACAATCAGAATCAGAAAGAATTTATTCAGCCTAATTTAACAACAGGAATACATTGCACTCTAGATGATTTATACCTTATCCGACAAGAGAACATTTCATTAAGTTTATTCATTTCTTAAGTTTATGGTTTTCAATCTTCCTTTGGGGTCTGCCCTCTTAAGTTTAATTGGTAATTTTTTTTAATTTGTTGTCTTTTTTCCTAGGTTTTATTAATAGATCTTTTAGATTTATTTAGTGTCATGAGTTTCTTTCGCACCTTAAGTTCCGGTTTTTGTTCCTGTTTTTTTTTACCTTACTTTTTCTTTTCTTATATCTCACAGTCAATCCGCGTTTGATTGCAGGATTTATTACATTAATTAATTGTCCACCACGGTGGGCGCCAAATAAATAACAGCGGTAGCGGATCGCGTTTTAAAAAATTGTATTTAAATTGAGCTTCACAGATATAGACTTAAGTTGAAGGCCAAAAAAGTCCCGGACAAAGAGTGTGTGCGATTTGAATGTTTAGTTCGACTTTTCGGTTTCGCTTCTGGATCTAGACTGATTTAAACTTTTCTCTTTCTGCATCGTGAACCCCTTTCGGGAATATTTTTCTGTAAACACTCCGATTGAATTTCATCATCCCGAGTATTGGATGTCGTCATCCAGAAGATTGAGAAATGTACAATACTCAAAGTGCAGAATCTGCAGAAAGTCGGGTGCGAGATTGTTTATCAGAAAGCCGGGGGTCAGATTGTTTATAAGAAGCCGGCTGTGGGCAAAGATTGTTTATCAATTAAGGAGAGTGCCAACGATTGAGATTGTGGCGGGAGCCAAATATTGAGATTGTATATCTTAAAAATCAATTAGGCGGAATCCAAAGATTGAGTTTGTGATGGGAGCCAAAGATTGAGATTGTTTTCGCCTTAGAAAGCGAAAGATTGTTTACAACTCGTATAAGAGCTCGATTTAATTGAGTACGTTAACTTGGATATGTTTTCTCAGAGCCCCTAAACAAAGCAGGTCTAAGCGCATTGAATCAGAAAGCCAACAATTAAAATTTCTAGCTAGTTTTTAAGTCTTATTAAGAATGAGATGGAAAATAGACAGCAAAGTTTATTCTTTGTTGAAGCACTTCATAATCTGATCAGATGTGAATTTGTTTGTTTTCTCAGGGACAGTATGGGAAAATTTGTACAGTATTTCTGAATTTTGATTCGGCCCGAAACACAAATTAAAAATCTCTAGAAAAATGTAATAACTGAATTTGTTGTCATTGCCCTGTACTATTTTTTCGTCAATCTCAACATGGATCTGACTCCTCGTGTGGACAACTGGATCAACATCGGCCACACTCGGGTCCGAGCACTCTTGTTTCGCAGCGAAAGCGGCGCTTTCGTACGCCCCAGATCTCCTTAATCGCAACCTCGAGCAGCATCTGGGGATTGGCCTTCCAGGACGACAACACACTGATATCCTGTGGCGCTTGCGACGGCGTGATCAAGGTGTGGAATCGGCTTTAGGAAGGAGCCGCTGCTCATGCACAAGCTGCCTTGTGTCGGCCACTCGGCCGCGACTCTTTGCCAACTGTGTGGACAAAACGATTTACAGCTACAATCTGCTGTCGTACTACCCCTAGTCGCTGGCCTGCTAAAAGGGTCTGCTGAATTCCACCTTCTACATCAAGTCCCGCCTGAGTCCGGATGAAAAGTACCTTTTGAGTGGCAGCAGTGACGAGCGGCCGTACATCTAGAACCTGGAGCATGTAGAGGTGGCACTGTCGGGCCACACGGTCGAGGTGACCTGCGGGGATCGCCTGGGGATCCTCCTACGGCTGGCGCGTGGAACCCGATCTGCAGGGTCTCAGTGAGGCCGAAAGGGCGGACAAGTGTCGCGGCCCCGCGAGCACGGCTCTGGCCACCGGCAAACAAAAGTACAACCTGAGGGATCTGAAGTTTGCGGCACGCTCGCTAAAGCACCTGATAGACCAGAACCCGCAGAAGCGCCCCAAGCCCCTGGAATCCCGTGAAAGGCGACTCTTCGAGCCGCCCAGCCCAGAGTCCACCTGCAGGCACATTTAGCTGCCGGCGATTGGCGAGGAAGAGGCATCGCCCAGCAAAAGGCAAAAGTAAAACGTCGCCGCTGATGATATTTCCCTGGTGACCAAGCTGCTAAGCCTCAACGGTCCACTCGCGGCTGAGAGAGAATGTCAACCACATCGGCGTCGGCAACAGCTGCCTCTGGGGGAGCTGGCCAGCAGCCCCTCTCCTCTATGATCTACTCGCCCACCTCGAACCTGCCCAACTACGTGCTGTACGGGCAGGCACTGCATCTGGCCATCCTGTCGCCTAAGCGCAAGCAAAAGCTGATGAATGCTTCTCTAGTGCCTGCGCCTGTTTCAGTGTAGTCCCCGCTTAAAGGCCACTCCCCGGCGCCGCATCTCGCACACTGATGCTGCAGGTGGTGCGGGCGGATCAAGCAAAACCATACCTCAGCACACCCACTCCCAGCCGCCGGAACAGTCAGATGACGCTGCTCCGTTTCTTCAGCGTTCAGTTCAGCAGCAGCGTTGCACCAGACGAGACGGCGACAGTGTCGGGGCCAAGCGATGTATCGCCGCCTCCGGTGGCCACGCCGCTGACACCGCGAACGCCTACGAAAGCGGTGGACAGCAATTAAGATGTCGCCTGACAAATGGGGATCATCGTATCCTCTTCCCGTGTTATTGTACCGTTAGTTTTAAGCGGACATTGTAGTAAGTTAGTTTATGTAGATCCTAGCTTAAACCTTTTTTTCGTTTGGCGCATTGTACAGCGCCAATACAAAAGACTGTATCTTGGACTTTCTCCGTAGAGCTAGGTTGAACATAGGCCAACTAAACTGCAACGGCGCATATTAGTATATCGCTGGAAAAAACTCTTGGAAACGGCGTATTAATGTGTGGGCATCGAAAGAAAAGAAACTTACAGAATACCTGAGCCGTTGAAGATATTTTGGCTGATTAAATAATATTGGATTTCTTCAAGGAAAGTTAGAAAACTAAATCCAATCCAAGATTAAATCGAAATCGCTTCGAATGGGGTCTTTAACACCGAAACTCAATCGCCCATAAGGCAATTGATCATCCACAAATGCAATTGATTGACATCGATCTAGATTAACAGAATTACAAATCAATTTTAGAAATCCAAATTAACAGATTAATAGAACAATAAATAACATAATCAGCGTTCTCGCAATTTTATTTATTTTTATATTTTACTTACTTTAGTTCGAATTAGGCGCATAGCTTTTCTTGCTTACTTGTCACATTGTCCCATACGATTATGGCCAGATCATCAGTCGTCGCCGTTGTGTACACCGGCTCGGCCTTTGCAAATTGTTCTTATTAGTCGAGGCGGTGGCTGCGGGTCCGAAGTATCAGAAGAATCGTTGCTGGCGTACCATTGGGGGCAGTGGTCCCATCGATCATCATAGATCGAGGTTGACACTTTATTCACAAATACTCACATATTCTATTATCTTCTACGAGCAGCAGCAAGAGCAAACGCTGGCTGAGAAATTCCATTTAAAGTGGAATGGACCTGCAGAGTTCTGAGTAATAACCATCTTTCTTTGTACAAGGTAAATGAACACTTCCACTACAAACCACTTGCAGGCGCTGAACATTTTCTTAATTGAATTCGAAGGATTTGCCGATCGTAGCACCAGGACGAAGTTGCGTTCCACACATTGCTGCACCTGCTAAATATGTAAAGCAGAATTAAAAACCAAGGCACAATCTACTGACTGAAATGAAGCGGGCTACTGTGTTACTTAAAAAATCCCAAAAAGTTTTGGTGGCCGATGTAACGCCTACATACGATGTGGGCGTAAGATATTTTAAATGTTCCCACGCTGCAGTCCTGCTGTCTCTTATCCTTCTACAGTGTGGTCGACTATCTACATTTAGACAAATTCTTAGGGAAGCCGACATTAACATGTCGGTGTGGGAGCTGGAAGCTTCCAAGCTGTCTTGTGCTGAACTGCGCCTTGGCCGTTCTTGGTTCGGACTGCTCTCTTACCTGTGGCTGCTGGGTTACAGTTTCGTAAGTGTACGGTAGTAAGCGCTATTGGCATAGTCGGCAGGGGTCCACATCTTCATGGACTTAGCTTAGGGTGATTTAACGAGCGTTAGATGGTTGTTAGCTTTTGTCGGAGCCCATTTACATGGGCTTGCTGATATGTTGCTTTGTTGACTGGTTCTGAGTTGGAATAGCCGTCGTCTTGGCCCATTTGTAGAAGAAATACGATGGGACCGGTGCTACATGTTCCAGAGACTTTTGCTAATCACAAATTTGTTTGGCTACGTACCTGCCTACAATCAAGGCCATTGAATTGAACCGCTGATGGGTGTCGCTCGTTGTGCCCTATGGATTGATTAGAAAATGCCACCTTCGGATTGACAAGTTCACAATTGATGACCATTTAACCTGAAATTAGTTTGGGCTTAATTTTCACTAAAAGCAGAGATCAGCTGTTACATACATGGTTGCATTACTCAAGATTCGATAACTCATATCGAATTCAAATTTAGAATACACGTTTTCTTACTGCATAGAATGCCTGTAACTATGTATAGGTATATTTTATTGACAATGATAGTATTCCATACTAGAGCATACATATTTAGCCCTCACTAACACTGCATGCTTTTTTCATAAGATTTTATTACTCACGCTATAACCATACAGTAAATAGATATGTCAGTATCACTGAGAGTGTCGCATGCGAATTTTCTGCGTACGCTCCCAGCTTAGTTTTTTATTTCCAACATCCAAGGTGCCCGTAATTTTTTTTGTGGCGGTCAATTCGTCATTAAGCTAAAAACTCAAAATAAAAACAAAACACATTCTGAAAAAACAAAGCACTACATTTTGTAGACTTCATATCTATGATAAAAGGCGGAAAACAAGCTAAATTTTGTTGACTAGTGTAATCAAGCACGAACTACATCGATAAGTGGAAAAACATCGATAGTAACCGACGATGATTGCTATAATCGATACTATTGCTGGTACTATCGCTGGCTTTGTAGCTATATTGGGTGTTTATTGTACAAACAAGGCGGAAAAAATGTTTTGAGGAACAGGCACACAGACGGCCATGCAATTTATTTTCGATCAGGTGCTCGCGTCCGGTTAATCTCGTTCGATACCACACAGAGTGCTAAATTCGTTGTACACACATTTATTCCACATAAAAAACTCTGGAAGGATATAAATTAGAGGAAAGCAGACACATAGTTGAGTAGTGAACCCAACACACGCACACGCGAACGCACACGAACACAAACACTACCACGAACACTAACAGAAGCACGCACACACACGCGCTTCAGGAGCGAGACAAACGTAGAAAGGATAAAAGAACAGGAAAGAGGAAGTGGGCGTGACATACGCCAGAGGCTGGTCGTCAGCTCCTTCCTCCCTCCCACCCACCAACCCACTACTGCTGCTCCTGGATATAACGAGAGGTCAGAGGAAGAGGGCGAGACATAGGACAGAGTAGAGGCAGAGAGGACTCCCTGTACCTTTGCCTCTTTTGGACCCAAGGCTGCATCCAGCGACGACTGACTGCTGCTGGGCCATGTCCAAAGTGCTCAGCCCACAGAAGCGGCAAACAGCAGTCCGTTGCGTCGGCATGGCCATGGGCATGAGCGTGGGCACAGCGGTGGCGGCCGGAGGCCTGGACGAGGACCTGGAATTCAATAGCAGCAGTTCGATCATCGATTTCCTGGCCAAAGAGCAGGACTGCGGTGTTGACGCCGACCCGGAGAGCATCTTTCAGGAAGTGAGCCGTCTCTCCGACAACACCGACACCCGCTCTGTGGACGAGCTCCTGCAGGAGGCGGAGCGCCTCATCCAGCAGCAACTGCGCCTGGGCGGCCTCTCCACGGATACGGTTCGAAACAGGCTGAATGCTCACGTGAGTGGCGCTGCCGACGATGGCGGAGGTGGCGACAGCGAGTGCAATGGCGATGCGGGCCAGGGGAAGGACAGGGCAAAGTCCCAGAACCAAACCCCAAGCCATACACCCTCGTCCTCGCCACAGTCTTCACCGCACAGCAGCATCCGGCTGAACACTCGCTTCACGCACCGCATTGAGCATTCTCCTCCCAAGCCGGGCGGACCTGTTAGGGCTCTGCCTGTAAGCAGCCATTCCAGGCCCAAATCAAAGTCATCAGCATCCTCAACGCCGGCACAGACGCCCCACGAGCTGAACGGCACCTTGGACAGCCAGTCCGGATGCGAAGAATTTGCCGCCTTCGTTGACAATCTGCCTTCGGAGTCGGTCATCTCGGAAGAGTCCACGCCCAAGGACATGCACAACACCACTGCGGCGCTCGCTCAGCTTCAGTCACAGCTGGACAACACCGACGATGATGAGGACACGGTAAGTGGATATCTAAGTTTTGTATATATATTTCCGGGTTCTGGGAAGGTTTGTTGGAAATTTCCGCTCATTTCGGGAGTCCCTATCTCTCCTTTCTTCATGGGGATTCTGTTTTAGGTACATCTTAGTAGTCAAATGTGGCTTCAGCCGTTGGTATGATCTTCGCGGGTAGGTTTCCTGAGACTTCTATCTGATCTTCTATCTGCTATCTGCTATCTATCTGAGCAGCTCCTTCCGACAGACTCCCTGCCGTACAAGTCCCATTTCCAGTGGGTTCTCATATCGGGTGAAGCTACAAGCCCTCGGGCTTGATAAGTGATCGATCGATAGGGAACCAACAATGAACGAATCGTGGAATTAGTTCTGTTCCGTTTTCTATGAATAAATAGCTTTGATTTTTTTATTACCTGCCGCACAGGATGAAGGACACGCACGCACACAGGTACACACTCACACTCACACAAACATAAATAATTAATCATCAATCACTGGACACAATTCACACCCATTCAGACAGACACCCATTCCGGGAAAGGACAAGAGGCGCAGAGATTATCCGATGGCCTGGGCCACCGTCTCGGCCACGGTCCAGCCCTCGAGGGCCGTGTCCTTGATGAACTTGGGGGGCAGCACGAAGCCGTAGGTGCCGCGATCGCGCAGCTCCACGGTGTACACGTACTTGACACCGAGGGCCGCCCGACTCCAATCATCGGAGCCGCCGCCGGCAATGCCCAGCACCTCGTGGGTGACCGCTGATTGATAGGTGCTACCGGTTTTCTGGGCAATACGCTGGACGGCCGTATTGCCGACCCGCTGCAGCACGCTGGCATCCTTCACCTTGACGGCCTTGTACGCCCATGGATAGACGATCATCTGTCCGTAGCTATGGTAGGTTAGATACGCCTCCAGGTTGTACTTGCGCTTGGCCAGGAACTCGGTTACGACCTTCGTCTCCGCCTCCGAGGCGGGGCTCGAGCCGCGGTACGTGTCGCTGCAGGGATTCGTCGAAGAGCCGTAGCCTGCCCATCCAATGTCAAAGTTGCGATTGAGGTCGACGCCCAAGCAGTTGGAGCGTCGCGAGGGCGACCGATTCTTGCGCCACAGGCGGTTGGTGGTGCGGGAGTACTCGTAGCCATCGGGATTCATCACGGGCATGATGTACCAGGTGAGGCCACGAATGTGAGCCGGCTGGTTCTCCCAGTTGGACATAAGCTGGTACAGGATGAATGTCACTGTCGCCGGGCTGATCCACTCGCGGGCGTGGATGCCGCCGTCTATCCAGATCTTCTTGTACTCGCGTGGATTCTCTGAGATTCTGAAGCACCGAAAGTGAAGCATACTTGTAGGCATATTGTTGGAGAAAGCGGCAAGCCCCTAAACGGAGGATGCACCTACCTTAGGACCTTCAGGTCGCGACCCTCAGCAGTCTGACCGATTGTATAAAGACGGACAATGTTCGGGAACTTGCTGCGGATCTCCCTCATGAAGGCATAGATGGTCTCCAGATCGTGGTAGTCCTTCCAGTGCATGCTGCTCCTCGCGGCCTTCTCTGCGGGTTGAGGATTCGAATAAAACATCTCGTTCCTCTCTCTCCACCTCTCTACCTCTTCATTTGAACTTACTTGATCTCTGGCCTTGTTCCGGGGCGGTGGCATTGATCCCATCCAGGTGCTCCTCGTCGATCAGTGCCTGGACATTCTCGGACAGCACTTGTGCATCCAGGCGCTGAGCATCGAGGAAGGAACGCGCCGCCTTCAGCTGCTCCTTGCCTATGGATATGTCCAAAAACTTTGAGTTCTCCTTCCAGATGTTGCCCCCGAACTTCTGCTCGAGCACCTGTCCCACGGGCACTTGGCGCTGCATCGCCTCCGATATGTTGTATATCCTCCACAGCTGCGCCTCGTCATACCTCTGGGGTATTTCATTCACGTCCAGCGCCATCGCCATCGCTTGCGTATTGTTCATAATCTGACCACTTGCCAGGGCTGATGTGATGGTTGCTGTTGCTATCAGCTGCAGCAGCAGCAGTAGTGGGGCTGGCGCGGGGCGTGGTAGCGTCATGGCAGCGTCCCTATCAGTCGTAAGAGCTGGGAAAACAAACAGAGTGTTATCAGTTCAACTCTCGGTCTGGGACTGGGTAGGTGATGCGATGAGAAGCCTGTCCTAAGTAATTGCGTTTCCTTTTAGCTGATTCTGCCTACAGTGGTGCCCATTCGATTGAAATTGCTTCCAGTGCAACCCAAGGAAAGCGATACTCAAAGGCAGGTGCCTTATATTTAGAGTACACTCTTACACCGCTTCTATTTTATCCGAAATGGTGATTATTCGAACCAATCTTTCTTTAAGCTAAACGAGAAACTATTTGGGAATGGTTCTGCCAGCGCTGGAAATTCTTTTTCGCGTTGAAACACCCAAGAGTATGACTGTTTTGATGAGAATTTGGCCTGTGCAGGGGAAAATTCGAATTAAGAAATGAAACTTGCGATAATCGAAATTTGAATGGAACCAATCGAACCCCCGTCCGAATGAGGGCTTTGGAACGAACTGCAGAAATTACTTATGTATGTATAAAAAAATAAAAAAAAGGCACTGTCTCTTTGCGCTTAAATTGAGTGTGTAAAGGTCGTCTAATTGTCGCACAAAAACAAAATATATTTCCGTTCCATTGTCCACGACATCAGCTATCGTACATATATGTACAAATGTCTGTATGGTACATTTGTATGTATGTATACTGTGTTGTATTTGGGTCTAACTGTTTTTCAGTCGTGCTTGTTTCAAGTAATTATAGATAGTGGATCATTTTGTGGCCCATTTTCGATTTTACAATTACGAAAAGTTGCCCTGAGAATTGCTGGAGCTTGAAGATCTTTCTGCCAGACACGGTCACAGTCCCCGCAATGTTCCCCATGTCGCATGTTTGCCCAAGTTCATTGTCGAAATTTGCATTTAGCTTTTACGGATTCCACTGACGTTCGATTGTTGGGTTCCGCTGTGGCCTGGGCTTCGACTTGGGATTGGTGATTGGTGATTGGGGATTCGTGTTCGGAATGGTTCTGTTCCTCTTTGAATGTGATTTGAATGCACAACAGCCCGCTCCACACGCTATTGGTTGGGCGAATGGAATGGCGCATTAGTCGGGGAGCATACAGCCAGTGAGCTCGACCCTGATCTAGATCCAGGAATGGAAAACTATCAGCAGCCGATCTCCGAACCTTTTTTTTTCACGTAATTGTGCTAATTTCCCTGTCCCGTATATGGTTTTTTTAGTTTGTTTTTTATAGATGCGTATTTGTTTATCTGTGTTTATTTTCCTTTTTTTATTGCCATGCAGAAAGTGGCACTTCGGAGCACGGGGTCTCCGAGAACAGGTTCTCTCGGACAAACTTAGCACGCAAGTCGGCTTCGGACTCAGTTTCGGAGTAGGTTTCGGCGACGGCGTCGGGCGAGGTTTCGGATGAGGTTGTAATTGCCTCGACCTTCGTTCTACCACAGAGACCGCTTTATGCTGCCCCAGTCCCAGACACTGTGCCAGAGCCAAAACGCTTGACCTGGTCCTGCACTTTCCACGAGCGGCCAACAAAAGGAAAACCCGAAAAATTGAAACTCGTTTCGGGAGGTAAACCTGTTTTGGGTGTCGGATCCCTTCCCACTCCCACTCCCACTGCCACTGCCACTCCCACTCCCAACCCCACCCCCATTCCCGTTACATGTAAATTCGCTTCCTCATCCGATCACACTTCCTATCTGCCACCGATCCCTGCCGCCTCCCTGCCGCCCCCACGCACGAGCGAATTTCATTTGATTTGTAGCTTACTCTTTGTTGTTGCTCTTCCAGGGGGGGATATGCACTCTCGGTGCTGTTGCTTTTGCCGGCTGGACTCTGGGAGAGAGCGAAAGAGAGTGTGCTTTGCGTGCGTGCGTACGTACGTGCCTGCGTGCGTGCGTGCCTACTTTTGTGCGTGCTGTCGTGCGTGCGCTTGCGTGTTGAAGAGAGCGCTGTGTAACGGGATGACAGGCTGACACCAGACTAAATGCTGCGTTTGTATGCGCTTCAATTTTTATATTGGCGCTCTGCCAGAGATCAGTGCGGGGGGAAAACGAAACAACGAAAAAAACAAAAAATACAAAAAACAAAAAAAAAAAACAAAAAAACGCCAAAACCGAGAATTACTACAGCAGCGAAAAACCGAAACACACACACACACAAGCAAGCAAAAAAAGCAAATCTGTTGTAAAAATTGCGCTGAACGACAACCGATCTTGGAGCGATCGTCGCGTACTGAATGGGACGACAGTCGCAGCAGCAGCAGCACCAGCAGCAGCAGCAGCAGCACCAGCAGCAGCGGCTGCGCTTTACAGGCAGGTGAGCGCAGAAGCGCCAGCGTCGTCAGCGCCAGCGTCAACAGCGGCAGCGAGAGAGTCACACACTTACGCATAAAATGAACATCTATCTCTGTCTGGCCTGCATGGTGGGATGGAGGAATGGTGGCTAGGCTGTGTCTGTGTATGGGAAGCGAGAGAGAGAGAGAGAGAATCCAAGCCCGAGTCAGAGTGCAGAGTGCCCACGCCCACGCTGCAGTACATCTCTGCCAGACTGCAGGGTGAAGTGCATTAACAGCCGGCGGGCGACATTGACATTTGGTGCCGTCTTCCGCACACATAAAGAAAAAAATGCATCGATGCGGAGCTGCCAACTTGCCGATAAATTGCCAAGACCTTCCCGGATCGATGTGATTCAGAGGAAAAATCCAGTCATTAATCTCTGATTCGGGGAAATCTACCTCCAGGCTCGCCTCCCCATATGTGTTGATGTTTGATGAGTGGCTAATGATTGCCCGTTCACTAAAGAATGTATGAGGTCAGAGTGCTGTGTGACGCTTATCGCTCTTCTCAAAGGTTTCTCCGCGGGATTAAGGAACTTCCCATTCTTCCCTCTCTCTCTCTCTCACTCCTTCACGATGTGCGATTGAGCTGACTTTTCGGTTTGCGTTTACAAACATTACAAGCACAAAGACGTACACACCCAAACGTTGAGTGTGCTGCTGTAAATTTGATTTAATTTATTTACCTCTGAGAATCGCTGAACGCATCGCAGTTTTTATACGCGGTACTTGGATAAGCACAAGGGTATGCTAAGTCCCTGCAAATGGGAGACTTTTTCGTCCCAACCATCCGATGACCCCATAACAACTGTTTCTCAACCCACTTTTATAGGATCAGGACTAAAAATAGAAAAGTAATGGCCAATGCCCTTGGTCTCAGATTCGATTAGCTCTAACAGCTCTTTACCATCTTTACGTCTTAAGATGTACCCTTTTTCAGAGCCTGATGGTCTCAGACTAAGTGCCGGGTATTTCATTGTCGAGGCGGCTCTCGACTGTCACGTTCTGTCTTGCTGTTGTTGTGTGGAAGGCAGCGCTGCTCAATTGTCACACACACACACGCACAAGCCTATTGTATCAGTTCATGTGTGTGTGTGCTGTATGACGGGGCAATTTTTGACCCACTTGGCGAGATTTTACTTTCTTTCGCCTTTGATGTGGATGATGATGATCAGGCTGGGGCACCTTCTCCAAGACCACCAACACCACCTCCGAGTCCCCCCCTCTACTACTCCCCCACTTGAGTCTTTAGCCTGGGGGCACTGTCGTTATTTATTGTTTTTTTTTTATTTTATTTTTAATTTTTGTTGGTCAGATTTTCACTTTTAACCCTTTTTTGAGAGTGGACGCCACAATGGAAGATTTTTTTCAGTGCACCACTTCTTTTGTGCCTTGGTTTGGATCGTTGATTGCCAGATACAGTCTTCACCCCATATGACACACATTCTTTTGTGACTCGGACTTTCTTCTACTTCTGCAATTGATTCTCCAATTCTTCTCTGAATGTCGGTACAGTGTGTAAACGCTATGAATGACACATGTACATGTATGTACTATGTATTCTTAGCTAATAGCTGTTGCCATGGCTATGGCCGTACGCCTCTTCCACTGCTTCTTCTCCTCAGGCAGTGTTTCTGGTTTCGCGTGTAAATCACTTTCTTCGCGGGTCTTCGGAGCTTTGAAGCCGCTCGCTCGCCTGCGGGGCCTTTCGCTCCCGCTGCCGCTCAGCTCCCCATAATTTCTTTATGCATGCATAAATATACAAAATCAAATATGCAGCAAAATGATGAAAACAAAAACAGAAAACAACAAAAAAAAAAAAACCAATAAAGTTGAGCTTACAGGTTTTTATAACGCGATTGAAAGTGAAAGTTTCTCCTCTGTAGCTCTGTCTCTCTCTCTCTCTCTCTCGCGCGCGCTCTTTGACAGCTTTCTATTGGTGTGTTTGCTGAACATTCTTGTTCGCCATTTGGCTCGTTTACATAACGCCAACCGTTAATGGGGGCTTCAATATGCGCGATTGCGAAATCCTAATCAGACCCCGAGCCATAAATCATGGCCTGTGACCCGGGGTCGCCCTCTGGCTCCGACTCCGACTTTCCGAGCTTTCCATGCTGCGGCCCATCGAGAACGCTTCAAGTGGAGCTTGTTTTAGCACAGTTGCAGAAACTGTTCTATGGCTAAAGCTTTGATTTGTACGATCCGCCCTAAAGTAGGCAACGGTTTCTCTGAACTTTTTGTCTGGTATTAAATGTTTCGATGCTCATTTCTCAGCACTTTAAGCTCAGAAGTGGATTGCGTATGCACACATTTCTAACTAATTCAGAACGGCTCTACTCTATTCCGCTACAGTCTCTCTGATATGTCTTGCATCTAATACATTTCTATTCATTTTTATACGAGTACATGGACACTTCCACGGATACGTCCACAGAGACAAAAATATTAAAAGTAAAACTCGTATCCATACCATTTTGTACCGATATTAATTTTCTAAATTTATTGAAAAATTTCATTTTTATTTACCTTAATGGGAAAATCTATTAAAAATCAACAAAGTTTATTTTCTTCGGTACGTTTTGGAATTTTCAATATGTACGTACTACGTGTTTATATTTCCCACAAAGTCACTCCTCAACTTTTAAATATCTAAAAAATTCTCAGGAAAGTGGCCAGTTCTTGGCTAAAGTTGTATATTTTGTACTTTCATTAACCCAAGAAATGTATGTCCCGCGCATCGTGCCCCCAGCGAATATGCTTACCATTAAATTACAAAAAAAAGTTGAAGTTCTTTTTGGGTGATATCAGCAACATTTTTAAGAGACATTAATGCAAAACATTTTAAAATTAAGCATTGAAATCGGCTTTTAAGAGTTTGGACGCAAAAAGTACTTCGATATCATGGTCAAGGATCAGTTTCAGTCAAGACATTATTAAAGAAAGGCATACATCAATATATATAGGTTTCACTAAGCCTTAGGTTTATGATATTGGTCAGTGGTAATAATCCAGTGGGTCCCTGTCTCAATTTGTTCTCTTATTTTCGACCGCGAGGATCGTGCAAGATGTGTCTGCCCCAACGACCTAGTTCAGATCTATTGTCGCATTCAGTTTGATAGATGGCAGAGTATTGGTCTCACTTCTATAATGCTCAGCGCGGGGCCCCCTAAATAGCTAGGCCTCCCCCGTCCCTATAACAAAGGGGTTCGTCGTAGCTCATGATCGACACTTGATCATAATACTAAACATTATAAATGTAATTGTCGCAATGGCTTAGAGTTAAGTACTTAATATTGTACTTTTGGATGGAGTTTGATTAAAATTGATTGATTTCTATTAAAAACCGATAATAAATTACTACAGGTAGGGGGGAAGACGGGGAGCTGCTCACTGCAGCTGCTGGGCGATGGTGCGCAGGAAGTCGTAGACCTCCTCGCCGGACTCCACAATGTAGTGGGGCGGCATGAGGTAGCCGTAGCGGCCCTGATCCTTGAGGAACACGTTGTACACGAACTGCGGCTCGATGCGGTCCTGCACCCAGTCGGCGGAGTTGCCCGGACGGGCTAGCTTCTGGCGGTAGCTGGTGCCCGTGGAGTACTCGGCCTGGTTGAGGCGCCGCAAGTTGAGCACCGCCTGACGGGCCGTTTGCTTCAGCAGGCGCTGATTCTCCGTCACGTAGTCGGCATCGCCCCAGGGATAGGTCACGGTCTGACCATAGCCACCCAGGGAGACGTAGCCCCCCAGATAGTCGCGCATGCCCAGCAGGAAATTGCGCAAAGCACGCGTCTCTGGCTCGGAGAAGCCCGAGGCTCCTCTGTATAGATTCTTGCAGGGATTGCTGGTGGATCCAGCCGCACCCCAGCCGTGCTCGAAGTTGCGGTCCAAATTGACGCCGTAGCAGCCGCTGGCGCTGTCATAGCCCCGATTCTTCGTCCACAGGCGGTCCGTCTGCCGGGAGTACTGGTAGCCGTCGGGATTGGCCAGCGGCAGGAAGTACCAGTCGATGCGACGCATCAACTTCTCCAGCTTGCCGTGCTCCCAGAGGTGGGTGAGCTTGGATATAGCATAGGTGAGGGCAGCGGGACTGAGCCAGTCCCGGGCCTGCAGACCAGCGTCCACAAAGATGGCCCAGTTCTGAGGATTGCCATTCGACACCCTAGGAAAGGAAAGGAAAGCAATACCAGATGTGAGAACTATTCCACTGAATGATAGGTATATGGCACTATATATTGATATAGATTCAGAACACTGCCCCATCGTACAGATCGGTGGATATCTAAATGGTCAGTAATTGAATTGATTTTGTGTTTGATTGACAGAGTATGAATATATTTCGGTTTGTCTTTCAATGGATAGCATCCACTGATTGGATACTTCTGATTGGGTCGGCAGATCGGCCGCAGGGGAAGATCGGTGCCATGCGAGCACTGTACCCACCTGATTACCTCCAGTGGGCGCTTATTGCGGGTCACACCAATCTGAACGATCTCCACCAGCTCCGAGTGGGCTTCGAGCTGCGCTTGGAGGAACTGCTGGATGTCGCCGTGGTCGTGGTAGCGCCGCCAGGTCATCAGCATGCCCTCGCGCTCGAGCCAGGGCCGCGACTGATTTTGCTGGCCATCGAACAGACCCTCCAGCGAAGGCACCTCTGCGTAGGTCTCGTCGATGGCCGCCTCCATATCGTCGATCATGACGTTGTAGCTGAAGCTGAGCTTCTGCATGAACTGGCGGGCAGCCGCCACGTTTTTCTGCTCGATGACTATGTCGATGCCATCCTGGTTGATGTTCCACACCTCGCTGCCTGCAAGGGAGATCACAAAGAAGACACTTGAATCCGGACAGTCAGTTGGAGGGTTGGGGGGCAGGGATCGGGGAGCTACCAAAGTGTCGCCAGAAGGCTCGAAGCTGCGGCTGGCTCAGCCGCGTCTCGTGCAGCTTCCACAGCTGATGTCCGTAGTAGCGCTGGACGGAGGAGCTGTTCCTGTACCGGCGATTGATCTGGTAGGAGGAGCTCGGCGATAGGAAGTCGAATCGCCGCAGATCCATCGGTGACAGCCACTGCAGACTTTCGAATGTGGTCTCGTACAGATCGCTGCCATTGAGTGACCACAAGGCCAGCGGCAGTTCGGACAGCCCCGAGAGATCCGACACGGAGACACTCCGCCAAAGCACCAGCTGGCCGAGGCTGGCGGGGACGTGGACATGGACTAGGGCCACTACAGTGAGCACTTTCAGCAGAATCGTCATCGCCATCGTCATCGCTTCAAGCCACACTTTAAGCTCCACTGCCGAAATCAGAACTGAACTCAGCCCCGAAAGAGGGTCGCGTTCTGGGGTCTCGGATAGCGGTTTCTTTAAGAATTCCATTCTCATGGATTTATGCTAAATTTATGCGTGACCTGACCTGCCCTGACCTCTCCCTCTTCCGAAATACCCTTTCCCCAAGGTATTTTCTGTTCGCTCCGAAGCTCTCAGACTCTCGAGACGTAAAAGATGATATGATCGTAGATCTACTAGGGGCTCGGGGCTTGGAATACCTATGGGAGGCCAATAGGGTATCCACGCTTCGATTCCAGCATTCGATCGTGCTCTCTTATTGATTTCTGGCGGCGCGCCGGCGGCTTGACAATTTCTCTTCTCTTGTTTGGCATCCGATGATCCGATGGATCGCAGAGCCCTCGGTGAGGGAATCGATTTATAATTGGACCCGCCCTGGAAAGCCTGGGATGATCGGGAAGAGGAAGTGGCCCTTCGCGGGTGTTCGTTCACTCACCAAACTTCTCCACCACCTCGTTGAACTCCGCATCTGGGGATCGGTGCTGCTCCTCTTCATCTTCCATGCTCCCCTCTGCACGGGTGGCATTGAAGTTGAGTTTCCAGAGCTGCCAGCCGCGGTAGGTCACATGGTTGGCATCCAGCTCGCTGCGCAGCTCCGACCTACGGCCGCCCGGCCTGGCCGGATCAGTGACGTCCAGGGGTCGCAGATAGTGCAGAAGTTGGCCCACGCCCCCTCCGAAGAAGGGAAGGCGGAGTCGCAGTCGATTGTCGGTGCGGGCCAGGTCGTAGCTCTCGCGCAAAGCCTGGACCGGGCTCAGTTCGAGCAGCCGCAGCAGCATACACGCCCCTGCCACCAAAGCCCATGGGTAGAGGTGCATGATTCTCTATCTCTACTCTGGAGCAGATCTTGTGGTTCGTAGTTCTTGGAGCGGATGGGGTGTGTGCCTGTGCTCGGCTGTGTGCGTTCGATTTGGCAGTTGAATTGGCTTTAATGTGTTCGATTTGTTGGCGAGCGTCAGCCTCCGTCCAGCTCCGACTAACGGCTTCTCTGCGATCTCAATTCTCTGTTCTTTGTTCTCTCTTCCCCCTTTCCCGTTTCCCGTTTCCCTGGTGCGCTCTCTGTTTCCCAATTAAGGCCATCCATCGGATTTGCATAGAACGATCCATGGAATTGGGCGATTTTGATGCTTTCGATTCGGCTTAATTCTGTTTGAAGTTTGACTTTTACTTTGGGCTGTGCTACTGCAAAACTGTTATACATATGTGGGTATTTACATCGTAGCGAGAGGAGGCAAGAAAGTTGTGAATACTGGTATGGGAAAGATTGTGTAAGGGTGTCGATGTTTAGAAGTATTTAATCTCCACACAAGCATATACATATACATAGACATGTACATATATGGTATATATGGCTGTGTATTCTCAGATACAGGTTTGAGGTATACTCCTATAGCTGTATCTATTGCATATACTCCAATTTTGAAGCTTCAGTATCACATCTGTACGACCTCATACATAATTAATTATTCATATTCTTGGTCATCTACTGATTATAACTCAAGTCCTATGGAATGAACTTGGAACTCGACCTTTAATCGAATTAAAGCGATCTTGGGTGATACAAAAATCTCTTTCATTCTAACGAAATGAAGAAGAATGAAGGAAAGAGAAATGGATAAATCGGGCAATCCCTCATTCTCACTCATTTAGTGCGTGCCTCTTCGTGTAAATGTTGTGCGAACGAGTCACTCATTCACTCAAAACTCTATCCGAGGTAGCATTCCATTTCATCCCATTCATTTGTTGATTCGAAATTCGAATACTATGCTATAAGACACTTGTTGTTTCTTTCATTTCTTTTAATAAACATTTCTCAGTCTACTTCGATGAGTTTTTTTGTGTTTGTTTGTTTGTTCAATTTTTCTAGTTACAAGTAGAATAAATTATTAAATAAATAAATAGTTTTCATATAAATAGAAAAAAAAAAGGAAACCCTAGGGTTGAAAAACAAAAACAAAAATATTTTTGCATTGAACTAGGTCCGGGCACACTTGGTGCCGGGAGAATGCATCCTAGTGGCGGCGTCGACTGGTGCCGCTGCTGTTCCTGGCCACCGCCTTGCCCCGCCCCTGGGCTATGGCGCGGGCGACGGTGTCGGCGAAGGTGTAGCCATCCTTGCCGTTGTACTGGATGAAGCGGGCGGGCAGGACGAAGCCGTAGCGGCCGGTGTCGCCCATCTCGATGGTGTATGCGTACTTGATGCCGGCGATGCCCTTGGCCCAGTCATCGGAGCCACCTGCGGCCGGATAGAGAGTGGTGGCCGAAGAGCCCACCGTATACTTGACGCCCGTTGACTTGGTTATGCTCTACAGAAAGCAGAGACCAGAGAGCAGAGAGCAGAGACCAGAGAGATAGTGTTAGTTAGGGTGCAAATAATCATCCACGAATTTGAGAATCTCTTACCGTGCCCGCCTGGCGTGCCACGCGATCCAGATCGGCTCGGTCCTGGGTCAGCTGGTAGTCGTATCCCCACGGGTAGAGGATGTACTGTCCGTAGCTGTGAAACGAGAGGTAGGCCTGGAAGGTCTCGCGGGGGAAGCCGCTGATGAACTTGGAGATGTAGAAGGTCTCCGGCTCGGAGAAGGCCTTGCTGCCGCGATACGTCTGCGAGCAGGGGCTGGCCGAGGTGCCCTTTCCGCCCCACTTGTAGCCAAAGTTGCGGTTGAGGTCGACACCGGGGCACTGGCGGCCGTGGGCACGCATGTTCTTGCGCCACAGCCGGTCGGTGGTGTGCGAGTACTCGTAGCCGTCGGGATTGGCCACCGGATGGATGTACCAGTTGATGCTGCGCATGTGCTCGGGCAGATCCTCCCAACCCTCCGCCAGCTGGTTGGCAATGAAGGTCACTGTGGCGGGGCTGATCCACTCCCTGGCGTGCATGCCTCCGTCGATCCAGACGCCGGGGTTGCGAGCATTTCCATTGGATATCCTGTTATGGAATTGTTTTCAATATCAATATCGATCTCGATCGTGTTGATTTATGGCCTCTTGCCCGCAACTTACTTGAGTATCTTCAAGGGTCGCTTCTCCACGGAGTAGCCGATGATCTCAGTGGAGCAGATGTCCGGGTAGGTCTTCGCCATGTAGTCGATGAAGCCGTGTATGTCCTCCAGGCGATGGTAGGCCTGCCACGTCAAGCGGTGTCCTGTGTGATTGAGAGTGGGGACTCTTAGCAACTTGGTTCATTCAACTTGGGGTCTAACAAACTCCGAACCCTGAGCCTCGAACCCTGAGCCTCGAACCCTGAGGCCCAAGCAACCCCCAGCTCTAATCCGATCCTGACCTTTCGACTTGTTCTTTCCGCTTCTCGTCTTTAGACGAACAGAGTGGCTATCGTATCGATTAAACAACTGCCGGTCTTGCCCTGCTCCTGAGCCTTCTCCTTTTTTGGTTTCGATGCGTGCCCTGGCACAGGGCACACGGCACGTGGCACGTGGAACGTGGCATGTTCCGGCCTATGGCCCATGGCTTCTATGGGTTCCTATAGCAAGCCCTTCTCAGTAAGTCTCAATCCAGCCCGAGGACGCCGGGTCCTGCCACTTTTCGCTTGATGACTTTTCACACGCCCTGCCCATTAAATGCTCGTTTGTGGCGACACCTAGTCCTGCTGTCATGCCACCCCTGTGTGGCCATAGACAGAGGACAGAGCCACCCCTTGCAGCACCTTTGCAGCGCCTTGAACCACCTGTCACTCACCCTTGCGGTTCTGGAGTTCGGCTATCTTCTCCGCCGGGGGATTCTCGACCTCGATGACGTGCTGCAGGTTGTCGATTAGCACGATCCGGGACAGATTGGCGGCACGGATATGGCGCTCGGCGGCGGCCAGAACCTGGGGCTTCAGCAAGTAGTCGACCTCCTGCTTCACCTCCTTCCACAGCTGTCCATCTGGATACAGGATACAGGATGGAGTGGGGGATTAGTGTGACATCCTCTCTGGGCTTGGACCCCGTCAAAGAAATACATACCATATTTGGATTGGAGCTCGTCTGCCAGTCGCTTGTCCTTGTCCGTCTGCACCACAATGCGCCACACCTGGGCGCCATCGTAGCGTCGCAGATGGGCATTGAAGGGGCTGTCCTCCGGCTCCTCCGTCGTGGACAGATCCGCCTGCTGCTGGAGCAGGAACGAGGCATTCACATAGTTCAGAACACTGTCGGCGACTTGGGGGGGCATCTGTGCCGGCTCAGGCTCGGCTTGGGGCTGTGGCAGGACCATGGGAATGATCGTGGTCAGCATGGATGGCTCCGCAGTCAGCTCTGGCTGGGTCTCCACCACAGCCGCAGCCACAGGCTCTGCTTCGGCCTCGACTTCAGCAGGCTTCTGTTCCACCAGGACCTCCTTTTCTGCTTCAGCTTCATCTTCGAGGGGTGCCTGCTGAACTTCCATCTCAGCCTCAGTCTCAGCCTCAGTTTCAGGTACAACTTCTGGCTTTGATTCCACTACAGGCTCTGGCTGGGCTGCCTCTGGCTCCACCTTGTTGTTCACTTCGGCGGCGTTCTGGACTTCTTCCTTATCAGCCGCTGATCCGGAATCAGCTTCGACTGTGGCCGCCTCGGGTTGCGGTTCCTTCTCCTCGACAGTGTCCACAGTCTCTGGCTGTTTCTCCTCTTCCGCGACTGCCTCGACGGCCTCGACGACCTCGACTGCTGCCTGTGGCTGCTCAGTCTCGGCCTCAACTTCAGCTGGAACTACATCTGAAGACTGGGACATCTCTTCTGGTTCATCTGCCAGGATCTGGATCTGTTCGGCTTCCTGCTCTGCTTCCTGTACCTCCTCAGGCTGGACTGCTGCCTGAGTGGAAGACTCCTCGCTGATTGGTGCGGCTTCAGTGGCTGGGGACTGGTCCTCCTCGACAGCCACTGGGTCACTGGATGTGCCCGTGGCCACCTCTGGCTCTGGTGGTGATTCCTTCTGCGGCTCATGCTGCTCCTCCTCCTCTGTGTGCTTGTCTTCTGTTGCCTCTGCGATCTCCTCGGGCACGAGGTGGTCCATCGCAGCAGTGAGGCCTTCCTCGATGCCTTCGACCATACTGTCCATCAGGGATGCTTCTGTGGTGTCCACCTCGTTCTCACTGGGCTTCTGCTCCTCTGGCTCTAAATGGAACTCCACTTGGGGCACCACTTGGGCCTCCGACTCAGCTTGAACTTCAGGCCCAGAAATCTTTTCCTCCTGCTCTGGCTCTAACTCCGGCTGAGATTCTGGGTGCTGCACGGCATCCTCCTGAGGCTGCTGCTGTTCTGGCAGGGACTCTTGCTCCTCTTGGGGCTTCTGCTGCTGCTCTGGCTCCTCCTGTGCTTGAACGGAGGCTGCTTCAGGATCCGCAGACTGCTCGACTTCCTTTTCCACTTCCTCAACGGCTTCGGCAATGACATCTGCAGCACTCTCTGTGGCTGGACTGGACTCATCCTCAGGGCTTGCAGCTGGCTCATCGTTGGAGGGCACGACCTCCTCCTCGTTCTCGTCCTCCTTCTCCTTTTCCTCCTCCGTGTCTTCGAGGGGAGCTGCCACTGGAGCCGTCTCTGTGGCTGTCTCCACGGCCTGCTCGGCGTTCTCCAGCTGAGCCTCCTGGCTGCCGGGCTGCTTCTGACTGGTGGCGACTGTGCCCTCAACCGAATGCTCCACCACATGCTCTTCAATCATCTCGGGCTGGATATGGACCTCTGGCTGGGACTCGGGCGCTGCTTCTGCGTCGGCTTCGGCTTCAGCTTCAGCTTCAGCCTCGGCCACGGTGATGTCGCTAGGAAGCTCCACGAGCTGCATGGCCGGGGTGTCGTCGCTCTCCAGCATAAGCATGTCCGAGCTTCCCGGAAGATCGGCG